TGGACTAATTGATTAATTTTAAAACCTATTGCAATCCTTATAAGAGGTATAGCTATTCAGATAGCATTTATGGAATTATATAACTTTTGAAGCCGCAATCGCGAACGATAGATTTGAATGATGAAGAAAAACTTAGCTAAACCGATCGAAAGAATGCAGATAGCATTTCGTTTAATATTTCTCAATAGCTTACACTCACAATCACAATCACTTTAACATATCCAGTAGTATTTATTAACTGTATCTTGAAGCTCGTGAATTTCTTTCAAATGCCAAATTGAAAAGATTCGCTAGATTTAGGATTACGATAAAACCTAAAAAAATATTATATCAGAAAATTAACCCCCGGGTTATATATTAAAAATAATAGATCATTCATTCAAAGCTATAATAGAGAGTGTGCATTCTGGTATTTATAAAAAATATATATTTACGCAGGAGTGATCGCTTTCAGTGCTATTAATAAACAAGGTTTTGAGTCGGAGTAAATTTACGCTGAGACTGCACTTGGTATTACTCAAAATTCATATTAACGAAAATTGTGAAATTAAAAATAGTGATGGTGAGTTACCTGCTGCCAAAAACTTAGTTGTATTTAAATTTAACATAATTTTAAACGCTGATCACTTTTTGGTAAACATATTAAGAAGCAATTATAATCTTTTTATTTATCAGTCAAATAATTATTATTTGATTATTATTATTATTTGCTTACATACAGAGATGGGTGGTAAGAGAAAGCCAGGGTTTTTGCCCATCTCTGTCTAAATAATATAGTATTTTGGTTGATTGGCCATAGTTTGCGAGAGCAAATTATCAGAAAAACCACTGGTATGCATACCTAGTCTAGCCATAAGTTCTGTTGCAAAGAAAATATCGGATAATTTCTTAAAAAAATAATTTTATTTTAAAGTTTTATATGTGATTATGTAAAGAAAAAAAGATATGTTAACGTACTAAACTATTTATTCAAAGTGTCCACCCTTAGCTTTAACGCACGCCTTTAAACAGTGGGGTCATTCGTCGATGGATTTACGAACGGTTCCCATTGGAAACTTAGTCACTGCTGCTTCCAAAGATTTCTTGAGCGACTCAATATTTGGGTGACGCTTAGAGCAGGCCATGTCCTCTAGCACAGACTCCAAAGAATCCATATTCCAAAGGGTTTAAGTCAGGATTAGCCGAAGGTCAATTATCAGCCTTTATGAAGTCTGGAACATTTTTCTCAAGTCAAATTTGGGTAGTGCGCGCCTTATGACCCGGAGCTGAATCCTGTTGGAATATCCACAGTTTTTTCATCGGTAAAAAGATTTTTTTCTCTGTTTTCGTTCGCTTATCGAAGTAACAGCTGTTTTGATCTTTCGACTCTCTTTTGTTTTAGTGCCTGATTTAAGGTATGTCCTCTGTATCTCCGGTAAGCCCTTAGACCTAAATCTTGTTTAATAATCGGAGAAAGAATCCTCGGTGGTATGCTCATTTCTCTGGAAAGGATTTTCTGCTTCCTTATGGGATTTCGACGAATTCTGGCCTCACCTGCATTAATGGACTGGTTTGTTCGAATAGACCGCGGCCGGCCGGATGGTCATGGTCATCAACAGACATGGTTTCAGTGTACCTTTGGATGGTACGATACACAAACATTCGACTAATCCCTAGCTTTTTCAATGTATCCAAAATGTCGACTGGCTCCTTGCCTACTTTGTACAGTGCAATTATTGCAATCCTATTCTCTTTAGTGCCTTTTTAGTTTCAAAACAAATAAATTCCAAACAAAAAACATACAATAATGACGGGAAAGAAGTCTATTTTTTTATCGTAGAAGCTAATGTTCGAAATTCAAATTAATGTTTTTTTTATGTATGTAAACAGCCAGTAATGGAATTTATGGCTAGACTAGGTTTTTTTTATGGAATAGGGGCAGTCGAGCAGACGGATCACCTGATGGTGAGTGATTACCGCCGCCCATGGACACCTGCAACATCAGAGGAGCTACAAGCGCGCTGCCGGCCTTTGAGGGACGAATAAGCTCTACGCGTGAAAGTTTGAAGGTCGTATCGGTCCGGAAATACCGCTGGCGACAAACTATTCCAGAGTTTGGCTGTGCGAGGCAGAAAACTTCTAGAAAAACGCACAGTTGAGGACTTCCAACCATCCAGATGATGGGCGTGGATTTCTTGTCGCGTGGAACGATGGCGGAAAGTAGCGGCAGGTATGAGTCCGAACAATTCCTCGGAGCATTCCCCGTAATAGATGCAATAGAAGATGCACAGTGAAGCAACGTTACTACGCAGGGCCAGTGGATCAAGCCAACTTGAAGTGTCCCTGCAATCAACGATTCAAATCGCTCTCCGCTGAATGCGGTCTAGAGGGAGAAGCTGGTATTGGGGTGCACCTGCCCAAAGATGTGAACAGTATTCCATATGGGGCCGAACCTGCGCCTTGTAAAGCTGCAGGCGATGCACCGGAGTGAAATACTGCCTCGATTTATTAAGCACACCAAGCTTCTTAGATGCTAATTAAGCTTTATCCTCTAAGTGACCACGGAACTGGACCTCGCTCGATATGTCGACACCGAGAATCTCAATATTGGCTATGGCTATAGGTATATATTAACTAGCTTTCCGCCAGCGGCTTCGCCCGCGTAGTTCCTGGATAACTGTTTATTTGGATATCGATTCATATTATAATACGGATGTAATTACAATGACAAATTGAATGGTAAACAATGGTTACTTTGATAACGGTTTAGTTCCCTATACAAATTACCATTTTTATCTCTTTATTTGCTGTTGTTCGGGATAAAATAGAGCTTCCCGTAGGTGAAAGCATTTTTGAAGTCGGTACAGTAGTTTCAGAGCCTGCTCGTTGCAAACAAATAAACAAACCATCAAACACACAAACAATCAAATCTTTCCTCTTTATTATATTAGTATAGAAGTATAGACAGATATTTCGAGTCCATTACAAACTAAATGTTCCCAATACTAATAGACAAACATACATAACAATTCGTCGATAGAGCTATTATTATATAAAACCTTTAAAAAAGCTTTAATTTAGGTATACATCTACACACAGCATTAGACGTCCTGAACAAGTGGTAAGAGAAAAAAAAATTTTTGGACGATTCAAAAGTGCTTGTAATAGCCTACTTGAATAAAAATATTTTCATTTCATTTCATTTCGATGTATTAAGGCAAAAAAAAAATAGTAGATAAACAGAATAAGACTCGATTATAATAGATAAGTAGCGGCGTGCTAAAAAATCTGTGTAAGTTGGTTCTACGTATTTTAAGATACATCATAATTTATAAGGCAAGATTTAAATAAAATGTTAAGTAATAATAATATTCTACAAATAGAATTAGTAGGAAAACGAAATTACCGCATTTGATTGCGGTTTCTTCATATGCAATTTTATTAATTCGGTTTTATTAAGGAAGTATTATCTCAAATTATTTCCTCACAACTTTATTGATTACGCACTCTCGTACGATCAAACCAACATATAATAAAATTTGCCTCATCAGAAAATTCCCAGTAGCTAGCAATATGAAACGATCTCATGACCTAAACTGACGCATCTATGGAATATTCATAGAAACGTACTAAAATAATCAATTAGGAACATTTAAGTTATCTACTTTTTCAGTACATTGGTTATAATACTAATTTAATTATTATAATAGGATTAAAGTATGAAATTGCCCATTTGTACTGAAAATCAAAATTGTAGTTCTATTTTTAACAAATTTATTTAATCAAAATAATTACCATTATTATCTATACATTGCTGCTATCTAATAGAAAGGTCATTTTTGCCTTTGGGATAGAACTCTGGGGATCTAGACTGCACAAACTGTGAAAGCATTTCGTACTGCCTCTTGGGAAGAAAACTTCATGTCACGTAGATAATTGTCCAAATCACGAAAAAAATGGTAGTCTGTTGGAGCAAGGTCGAATACGGAGGATGACGAATGGTTTCTAACTGCAGTTCCTGAAGGGTCAAAAAGATTTATCGTGCTGTGTGAGGTCTCGCATTGTCATGGAGCAATTATGGTGAAGATCAATTCATGAGTCGGGCTGTTTTACTGCTGGTTTTGCCAACATTGCTTGGAGTTCGGCACAATAGATGGGTCAGTTTCAAAAAAAATGTACATTTTAACATTATTTTTGTCCCAAGTAGATTATTTTTATTCCAAACCAGTTAATAAAAGACATGTTCCTGATTAATTTGAATAATTCACATACTTACATTGCGACTAATACCATTTTCTACTCAGACTAATATAATATTTTATTATAATTTAATAAGTGATTATCAAATAGAGGATCCCTATAAAAAAAACGTGTCCCATTTAAAGGTAACACCAAACTTTACAGATCAAAAATATATGGTCTAGTTTATTAGGAAAAAATAACATGAACACATTACCTATGAACTTAAGTTTAAAAAAAAAATTGAAATATTAATATTATTTATTATTATTTTTATAATAATATATCAAAATTTGTCCCATTATATTTTCATTTTTGTTATTCCAGTTTATAACATAATTTTTATCATGAATTTGGTAGAAATGTTTATTTAAATACTGGCAGTACTAGAAGCCAACATAGTACTGTGTAGGTGGCGCCACAAGTGGGTCGTTCATTTTATTTCGCGACAGAGCTGTGAGTGAATAACAACTTCGTGGTAAAAATAGACAATTATCTAGCATTCTTTCTTAAAACGCTACTAACGTAGGTAAGTGATTTATTAATTTGTTTTATTTGCTATATTAATCTTTTGATACACATCATTAAGATGTATCGAACTTAGCTTTACTATAAGGTCAATAACTCCACTAATAAATTTAAGGTTATATTAGACACGAGGTACCAATTCATTTTTATTACTTTTTGTTATGTTTTTTTTTGTTACGTTACAAAAATGAAATGTAAGGCTCGATTCATATCAAGTGTGAGTTTTTAGTTCGTACAGTAAGCCACACATCAAGTAAATTTGTCATTTTTGCATAAATCTGCCAAATTTGACAGATTTGTATCTGTATAACTTGATGTTTGGCTGTCTACACAGTATGTTTCAATGCGTGGAAAGAACAATGCTTTTTTGCTACAGCCCCTAAATAGCTACAATATACAATCCAAAAACGCGTGTGTACCTATGTATATACGTTTGTGTGACTTTGATCTTTGTCTAGCTTTCTAACTCGCATTCTTATTCATCCACTGACTGAAAAAATACATAAAAAGAAGTGATAAATAATGTTTCAGTACTGTTCATATTGTGCTTTACAACAGTTCAGGTTTAAAGAAAAAAATGTTGAAGTAGGCGCCAAATTCTAAATAGGATTAGTAAATTCTTTAAAGTGAACTAAAACATTATTATTATTTCTTTTTATCTAATAGGGCAGAGGAGCAGACGAATCATCTAATGGTAAGCAATTGCCGCCGCCTATTGAAATTTTTCGAAGGTGTTTTTTTTTCTTTGAAAAAGAAAACGTTTGGTTTTTTTGGCACAGCGCACCCCTTACTTACTGGAAATAATTAACTCCCCCCTCTCCCGGTGAATTGAAAACCTCCTCCTTTTCTTAAGTTGGTTAAAAGATTAAATTTTTTATATCTCAGTTTTTTATTTTTCCCTTGTGGTTTCAGAAATAAATATGCCTTTATCTCCTGCTGAACGACAACGACTGTATAGAGAAAGGTTAAAAACAAAAAACCCTGAAAAATATGAGGAAATCAGGCTAAAAAATTTAGAAAGAATTAAAAATAATTATATAAGAGTAAAAGAACTATCTGAACACCAAAGAAAGATAAGGCGTAGGACTTGGCGGAAACTTAAAGAAAAAAGTAAAATAAAGAAAAAAGATAACAATAACGAAAATGAAGCACAAAATCCAGAAAAATGTTGCACAGAGAAAAATAGCCGTATAAAAATATATAAACATATTTACTATAAATTTCAAAAGAAATATAAATACCAAGAGGAAAAAAACAAACGCATGAAGAAAAGAATCGACACATTGAGAAAAAAAGTATTTAGACACAAAATATTAGCTGAATGTCAACAAGAAAAGGCAGAAGTTATAGAAAAAGAAAATACTCATGCTCCTTTTCGGACGGACCTTTTGCCCAAATTGTTAGAGACGCTTTATAAGAAGTGTACGACGAACATTGAAAGGAATGTAATAAAAAAAATTGTAAATGACCCTTTGGTCAAAAGTTACAAATTAAAAACACGATGGGCTCGATATTTAGGCTTGAAAGGCAGAATCCGCAACCCAGCAGCCAAAACAAAAAAACAAAAATACATTGCCGATAAGATAGAACAATTTTTTTTACGTGACGATATAAGTCGAGCAACAGCTGGAAAAAAGGAGACCAAGACCCTAAATAAAACAAAAATGCAAAAGAGATTGCTCCTCGACACGTTAAAAAACATACATAAAAAATTTGTAAATGACACCGGGTTAGCAATTTCTTATGCAACTTTTATAAGAAGAAAACCATTTTATGTTTTGAGCCCGAAATTGTCGGATAGAGATACTTGTGCTTGTAGAAAGCATGCGAATATGCATTTCAAATTTATTTCATTGAAAAAAGCATATGTGTTGGTGTTCTATAATAATTTGAAGGAAGCAGTAAAAGCGACTGTTTGTGATGAGAAATCAAGAAGCTGTATGTATTCCGAATGCACGGTTTGTGCAGAAAAAAAAATTAACTATGACTATTCATCAACAAATCAGGATGCTAATATATCTTGGATAGAATGGAACCTCAAAAATCATGAATACGATAAGAATGGTGTAAAGAAAGTGTCTAAAAGGATGTTAAAGGAGATCAAGCAAGATTCTTTAAAAAACTTGACAGAGAAGTTTGAGACGGAATTTAAGGCTTATAAGGTGCATTTATTTAACATCACTCATCAGTATAGTACTTACAGAGAATTGAAAGATAATCTTAAGTCTAATGAAATGATCCTACATTGCGATTTTTCAGAAAATTATGCTTGTAAAATGCATCAGGAAGTTCAGGCTGTCCATTTTGGCGGTTCACAGCACCAAATATCTTTGCATACGAGTGTACTGTACAAAAATAATGAGAAAGCTCAATGCTTTTGTACATTTTCGGATTCCAAAAGTCATACACCCGAAGCAATATGGGCACATCTGCAGCCTATTTTGATCTATATTCAAGATAATTATCCCGCAGTTACTTGTTTGCACATATATTCCGACGGACCATCATCCCAATACAGACAGAAGAAAAATTTTTTCCTCTTTAACAGTGTTATGCATCATTTTGGTCTAAAGGGTACTTGGAACTACTTCGAAGCGTCGCACGGTAAGGGCGCGGCTGATGGAGTAGGAGGATATATAAAAAGACTACTAGATAGGAAAGTATTACACGGAATTGATATAAATACTGCTCAAGACGCATATACGCACACAAAAGATACATGTATAGAAGTGTATAATATTGAAGGAAGTGAAATTGAAGAAATTACAGACAATTACAAAGAAGGTTTAAATTCATTAATAGCAGTACCTAATACGATGAAAATCCACCAGATTTTGACAAATATTGACACAAATATAATTTCGTACCGTAATTTAAGCTGTTTTTGCGACAATTCTGTGGAAAGAGGATTTTGCAATTGTTTTTCTTTAAAGAAACACAATTTGTTAAAGTCAAATAAATCGGTTAAAAGAATTTGTTATGAAAGCTCTTCAAGTTCCTATGTGTTATGTCCACCAAAACGCCGACTTAAAATAAATTTGTCTTCTTCATCGTCAGCTGAAAATGTAAGTTTAATTAGTGAAAAAATTAATCATTCTGAAAATATAGCACCTGCATCATCTGAAGAAATATTTGGCATACAATCCACAAAGAAAGTTGTAGAAAGGAGCCATCCGAATCCGAAAGTAACTATTCTAGAATCAGTTAAAGTAAATTACAGCAAAAAAAGATTATTGAATATTGTCAAGAATGCAAAATACAATATTTCTTCAAATGATATAAGGACGGATTTCAAAGAATTGGTTATCAGAAAACCCTTATCTTCAGAAAATAGTTTATATGAGCCGTCTTGCAGTTATTTTAATCAAAATATTAAGAATAAGTATAACGTAAGCCCAAAAAAACGTACACATAACTTTTTTTATACAGATAGTGATGATGAACATTAATTTTACTAAATATAATTATGCCGCTAGTGCTAACGGTGAATAGTTCAGAGGGCTTTACACTATAGAAAATGTGTCATTTGACTGTTTTGTTTTTGATAATATTATAAAAGCTATAAAGAGCCTAAGTATTGTAAGTAAATTAAAGAATTAACTTTTTATAGCCTTTTGGGACCACATTGTAACATGCTATATAAATAGCCTATTACAATGTGGTAACAGTCTATAAAGGACTCTAGACTATAGAAAATGTGTTATTTGACTGATTTGCCTGTGATTATATTTTATAAACTAAAAAGAGCATAAGTGTTGTAAGTAAATTAAACAATATCATTTTAAAACGTTTTATCAGACTATATAAATATAGCCTGTTGCAATGTGGTGACATGTTTTATTTATTTATTTTTGATTTTTTGCTTCTTATTAACCGTCTCATGATTGTGATTTTTTTTAAATTATTTTTTATAAGCTAAAAAGAGCATTTGTATTGTAGTAAATTAATTAAACAATTATTTTTGATAATAATCAATGTGGTGACACGTTACATTTATTTAGGCTTTTGACATCACATTGTAACAGGCTATATAAATATAGCCCGTTACAATGTGACAAGCTTTATTTATATAGCCTTTTGACACCACATTGTTACAGGCTATATGAATATAGTTTGTTACAATGTGGTGACAGATTTTAAACATACAGCCTGTAACAATGTGGTGACACGCTGTATTTGTATACTCTTTAGATTTTTTGCTTGTTATTAACCGTCTCATAATTGTAATTTGTTTTGATTATTTTTTTATAAGCTACAAATAGTATTGCAGTAGGTAAATTAAACAATTATATTTGATACTAATTAATATGGTGACACGTTACATTTGTTTAGGCTTTGACATGCGTACATACATGCGTGACATAAATAAAGCATTTTTGGTGACATTTGACAAAAATCTTTTTATATAGCCTATTGACACCTTGTCATTACATGACATTGTTACAGTTACATTTTTGTTACAAAATCATTGTTACAAAATGATAACTTTCCTAGCAAATTCATAAATTTACATTTCTTATTTTCCAGTGACATAATATACTAAGGACATTTTGAAATTTTAGGATTTCGTATTTATGGTTATGAGCCTTTGAATAAAGGAAACATACTGTTAAAGTGACATTATTGATTCATAGACATTGTTAATTAATATGCTTAAGGAAAAATAAATGTAAACAATTATGTACATAGATTGAGTTTGAATCTCCTGTGACCACGACTTTACCATTCCATTTTGTTATATTTTTTTGTTACGGCACCTATTATTCTTTTTTGTTTCATTTTCGTTACGGTACATTTTTTTTGAAACTGACCCAGATATCTGCCGTTATTGCTTGACGAGATCGGAGAAAACTATAGTGAATAACACCATGCAGAGACCACCAAACAGTTACCATTACCTTTTTATTGGTAAGTTTTAGAACACTGTTGTGGCGTTAGACCTGGGTAATGGCTAACCCCTTTTTCTGACCTTTTTTTACGGTTATCATAAAGATTCACTTTTCAATATTCCTTCATTTCTGTACCAATTCAACAAAGCAACACAAGTTTCAACACGCGTGTCTTTCTGCAGATCAGTCAAATCATGAGGCACCCATTTTTCGTATTTTGTTTATTTTATTGATTTGAAGCAAATTAGTCAATATTGTGGGTAAGGTAACGTTAAACCATGCCGCTAATTTCTGGGTAGTTTGACTAGGATCTGCTTCCACCATCTCTCTTAATTCATCGTTATTAACCTGTGTGGGCGGTCTTCCTCGTGGCTCGTTCTTTAAGTCGAAGTTTCAATCACGAAAGCGTTTAAACCAAAATCGCACGGTGCAGACCCCTCTCTATACGCAACATTGATATTGCGGGCTCTTTCTGCCACGTTACTTCCGCGTCGAATTTTCGCAGTATTCATCTTTCCTGTCTAAGATGAATACAAAAACAATTCAAATGTTTCACATGTTTTAAAAGAAGAACATCATAGAAACCATGTGAAAAAAGTTTCTTTCGAAAACCTCAAACCATGAAGATTCTGTGTCAACAAAGGAACGTATTACAATAAAACAGCAAGTTTTTACTTTAACCCCTGATATTTACTAAATTAACTTGCTGTTCAGCTCTTTCTCAGTCTCATTACTGCGTAACTTCGTTGACCTTCAGTGTGTCGCAGTGGCATGTATTTGAACCACAGTGATTTGATTTACAGTTTTATTGCACAAGCTTCGCATCGCACTTCCGTTTATCGAACTCATATTACGTACTCAATACTATTTGTTGAGAATAGCTGTTGAGAACAACGTTGATCTTAAAACAAAGAACCATAAATAAAAAACAAATTAATAAATTCGGATCCTTTAATCTTTAACTGATACTCTATAAATTTTTAAAACATAAACTAGGGCTGTTAATATTAATACTTAATACTACTTAAAACTTAAGTTCTACTCACCTTTTAAAAACAGCAACATATACACGGTATTTTACATCAATAACTACGGAGATTACAACAATCCAATTAAGGGGAGACATTGACAACTAAATCCTATTAAGTAATCCGTGCACCGCTTTAATTGGCGACCATTACACAAAATACTCTATGGTCTGTCATCGCACAAAATGGCGGACGCGCGCGCGGCAAAATAAATACGTTCGGAGATGGATATTATATCTTCATTAGCGTTCGGTAGCGCGCATTGATATGTCGGCAGGTGGGGCCATTGAAATTGTTGTATTTTATCACTGGCACGTTTTAAAGGATAGACGCTTCGCTCTTTGCCTTTTTTGATTGTCCACGGATTGCACTTATTGTCCAATCAGATACGGAATACAAGAAATGAAAACGTTTAACACTCATGCATATCCTTTACCTAACGTTACAACATAAATATTAAAGCTATTTCAGATATATTTTTTACATATGCGCAGTTCCCGTTTTTATGTTTGACATTCTAACTTTAAATGAATTAATAATGGCCAAATATACTAGAAAATATTATAAAAAAAAGTTTGATGTGTATTTTTGGAGAAAATATATGTTGTTGAGGAACAACACTGTGAATTGTATGTAAATGAAAAACTATAAATATAATCTTTTATTTTTGTTAAAGTACAAAATTTTGCATATACAAAAAAAATAATGACAAAAACGACTTCTTTTTCTAGCAACATCGTCAAGGTTGCATTTCTTTGGTTTTGAGCAAGCTGTGGTACCAAATCTTTTGTATCACTCTCAAAACCAAACTAAAAGAAAAATAAATAATTTTTGGTAACTTCAAATATTGTTGTAATATATAATCTAATTTAAATATGATACGATTATTAATTTTATATTATTAATTATCTTCCAAAACGCTAAAACAGCCTTTTGTAGGTGTGTTTTATTGAAACTAATATATATGTCTGACCCAAAACGAATCTTATTCAAATATTTATAATAACTTTATGCAGTTATATTACACCTAATGTACTTAATGATTAATGGACAGCGTCGTTGAAGAACAACACTCTTACTTTACTGAGCGCTTCGCAGTGTTGGTGACAAACAACATACACAATTCACAACCTTATGAATAATTATTATGTCTTCGATGGAACATTTTTACATCCAAAATCGTAAAAACAGTATTAGGAATGATAACTATCTCATCACAATCAACAAAATACTACATAAAAAGATACATTAAATAAATATTTGTTTGTCTGAGATTAACAAACCGCAAGCACTTGTTCGACACCATTATTTGAAAACTGACGGAGTACGTCAAACTTGATGACTGATTTTTTTAATTAGATGCCTTAACCTTTTTGGTGTGATATTTTCGAAATGAAGTAATTAATTCACAAATAACCGAGAAAAATAAACATTTATTGAATGTTATTCAGGAACAACGGAACAACACTGCGAATTGACGGGTTTAATGAATCCAGACATATAAGAAAATTTAACTTAGACAGCGATCGCGTAACTCTTAAGCAAAGGATACGACATCATAGAGATGTTTTAGCGACTTATCCAATATGTCGTATATTGTCGACAGTAGGTACACAAGTTTCTCTAATCGATCTTAGCCCTAATCTGTTCAAAATTTATTGCAATAATGAATTCTGATGTACTGAATTATATGTTAATGTTTGATAGTTATTTATTTTAAGCAGCTATAAATTTTTTTAATAAAACAATCTTACAAACGCAGCGTACAAAAATATTGTTTCTCACATGTTAGCCTTAGAAAAGTTTAGGTACCCAACGTCTTTATGAATACACAAAAACGGCAACAACCTATGAATAGGGAATGCAA